TCTTTCCACTAGTTTTTTTGTTTTTTTTCCGGTAATGCCAAGAAATTCTCTGTAGCATTGCTTGAAAAAAACAGCAAGTCAGTCTTTTTTTTTTTCTTTCCTGGCTATATTGAGACAGCCTAGCTAGAACATTAGCTTTCCCTGTACTTGCAAGGAACTCATTAACAGTGAGAAATAATACCCAGTATCCAGTGTCCTATTAGAGACACTAATAGGAACTGTGCATGTACGACGAAAGAGAACAAGTACATTGTTAGCGGTGAAAAGCCTCTTGCCGATAAAACATTTCTGAACAAAATTACCCTTTTCCTGAAGGAAGAAAGATTAATTCAAAACCTTGGTGGTCTTGTTTGACTGGTTTCATCTATGCCAGTTTTGAACTCAAATGACCCATTGACCCAACAGTGACCCTGACTTTTGCCGAACAAAAGGATTAGACTGCCGGCTTAGGCCTCAGCTGAGGGCAGTGTTGCCTTTTTAGAGAGAATCTCCTCTTTGTTCCTTGAAGTATAGAGATTTTGGACCTGGTGCAGTCATCTGCAGTATCACCTGCTGCACACATAATATAGGCAGGGCTTGAAAAAGTTTAGGGTGTCTCACCAGTCAGTCAAAAATTTCACCAGTCAGTAGGACCGGACTCTAGCCTTGCAATTATGTTAAAAAATTTTAGGGAAACATAGCGCTTTCTTTTAGTGGTATATGACCACCACCAGGGTTTTTATTTTTTACTATATAATGAAAAAAGTACAGTCATTTTCGGGAAATAAAATGTTTTCCCTATGTTATGTTAAAAAACATTTATTTTTACCCATATTTTTGGTAAAATATAAAAGACGGGGTCATGTCGGGTAAATAGACACCAAACATGTCGAGCCTTAAAATTGTGCGTGACCGCAAAATCGAAGAAAAAAAAATGTCCACACCGAAAATTGGCCAATTTGTACAAATGGGTAGTGCGTAAGCTTTATTTTTCCTATAGGTTTTAGATCTGTTGTGACTTATACTCCCAGTGGTCAATTCATGTCTATTATCGCTGGTTAAAAAAATAAAGTGTCACATCCAAAACTACCTAGAAAAGCAAAATTTTTCCTACTTGTATGATTCAGATTGGAGTTTTCCTGCTGCTTTATTAAAACTAAGCAATTAAAAAAAAAAAAAGTATTACACATGGAAATGATGTGATGCCAGCATGCGGTGTCGCTGACGTTGTCAATGAGAATCATACAGTTCCGTAGCAGCTTAAGGCATCTCCCAAGCATGTAATTGAAAGGATTAGTGTTTTCCCAGTGTTGTCCTCGAAGTTGCATAGAAAGAACGACCCCGTGCTCTCTTTATTGCTTGCATTGGTGCAAGGGCAGTGCCCAGCTCCCTGTGTCCTTTGTTTGACAATCCCTTGCCTATTAGCCTTGAAAAATGAATTGATTTTCTAGATAAGACTCCCCCTGCCCCCCAGTCTTTAATGAGGTTCAGATTAAAGTTGGCAATTTTCGAGATTAATAATGGTTTCAGTAAACGAACTACAAACCAAAACCAAGCACATTTGCTTATCCTTAGTGACAACTGTGGACGGTGCTTGCATAAAGTGTGCCAGCCTGGCTGCTTTTAGTTTCTACCAGGGGCACATGGGGTAAAGAGACAGAGAGCACAATTTGGAGACAATTGTTGTCCCATTACGGAAAGTGCCTGAAGAAGAACTTGGTAAAATCACTAGATATTATTTTAATTAACTTAGCATTTTAATACAGACTTTTTTAAACAATTTGGAAATTACATTAAAGCCACACACAAAGGGCACAGTGCATTAAATGCTGGCAGAATGTGAGGTATTCCACATTCTAAGGATCGCTTAACTATGCATGAGCAAAAAGTGAAATTGTTATCCAAAAACAAGTTTTTAAAAGTATGGAAATTAATATGTTCTAAAATTTACATAATTGTGTAAATAAAGTAAATAACATTGCTCTACCTAACACTAAACTCAGAAGTTACATCTTAAAAATGCATTCAGGTACCTTAATTTTTAACAAACATTTATCTTATTTGTGTATCACTCGACTGTAAATCTTCAAATCATCTCTGAATTCATGCTGACACTGTCCTTCCTTCTGGAGGTTGGCTACTTTTGTTCACCATGGTCCCTGTGTGTGTTGTAAAGTAGTCACCACTCCAAGCTCACTCCCATGATGGACTCTCATGTTTAATTTACAAATTTGTATTGAGATTGTAGTCCATCACGGGAGCGAGCATGAAGCATGGCTACTTTACACACACATGGACCATGGGCAACAAAAGTGGCCACCCTCCAGAAGGAAGCACAGTGTCAGCACCAGTTCAGGGATGGTTTGAGGATCTACAGAAAAGTGATGCACAAATAAGATACATTTCTGTTAATAGTTAAGATACTTGAATGCATTTTTAAAATGTAACTCCTGAGTTTAGTGTCACTTTAATATCAGGCCATAGTGTTAACAACTTCTACTGCACATGGTCAACTCAATTCACATTCCGAGCAATAATTAGATGCCAAAGATTTTCTCTCTTGCTGAGGTCCAGTTGTGATCCTGTGTGAATTTAGGATTGGCACTGGAGTGTTTTCACAATAGAAATAAAACTTTGTGATCCCCAATACTAGCATTGTTCTTTAGACTTATGGGTTGCTATCCACATAGCTGTGAATATGCTGGTTTCCTTTTGTCCAAATACCAACCGTATCTGAATACAAGTACAACTGCCTTCAGCATCAAGCAAGTGCTTCTTTTTCCACAGCTCAGGTATCACTAAAGGTGGGTAATTAGATTGTAACTAACAGGTAAGTTATGCCACAGCGAAGCAGTAGCACAATGGAAACATTACTCCTAAAACAAAAAAAAATAAAACACTGGCTTAAACAGCATTATTTAAAAAAAAAACAATGGCTTAAAAAACGTTATTCTACATAACATTACTGCCATTAACCTCTTCTTCAGTTGGAAACACTGCAGTGGCCACTGTTACTACTGGCGCAAGTTTATAAATTCTTTGGATGTTTCCTCTGCTGCATAAATAACTTTGAATATTTGTAGCTTGAGTTATCATTGGACGTGTGTTCTGTGTTTATGCTGCGTATTCCTGTTATTCTTATTTGGCTTCCATTTTCTGTTTTGGCACATTGTGCACTATTTAATGCCATTACGCTTCAATAATTTGTCCTCCAGAGCATTCCATCAATGAGCTAATTAAAAAACAGGCTCAGTGCTCCAAAAACAATCTCTGGACCGGAGCTCTCCAAGAATATACAGTAGACGCCACTATAAAAGTCAGAATAGTCTAAAAGAGAAACTCCAGTCACAAAAGAAAATGTGTATTTTATTTCCTGCACTTATGACATTAGAGTCTTTAAAGTGACACTACACTCAGGAGTTAAATCTTAAAAATGCATTCAAGTACCCTAGTAACAAAAATGTATCTTATTTGTGTATTACTTGGCTGTAGATCCTCAAATCATCTCTGAATTGGTGCTGACACTGTCCTTCCTTCTGGAGGGTGGCTACTTTTGTTCCCCATAGTCCCTGCATGTGTTGTAAAGTAGCCACCGCTCCAAGCTCGCTCCTGTGATAGACTACAATCTCAATACAAATAAGTAAACTAAGATTGTGAGATTGTAATCCATCAAGGGAGTGATCTTGGAGCGGTGGCTGCTTTACAACACACACAGGGACCAAGGGGAACAAAAATTCTGAGTTTAGTGTCACTTTAACCCTGTTTTTATGAAAATGGCCACTGCGGCCTCCTCTACTCTGACACATATGTAATATTTAAAGTAATGGCAGCAATCTGAAGTTAAAGCAGAACTCTGGGCAAAGTGTTCTTAATCCTTGCAGTGGACTAACCCCCTCACTCCATGGGTTCATTGCTTCTTTTTGTCTAGGTGCTAAAAAAAGTTAAACCCTCCCGATCCTTGGAGCTGCCTTGCTCTTAGAACAGTCCCTGGAGCCTCACTCCCCCACTGCTGCTAATGTCTAGGGATCCTTGAGTCATCACATTCTATACACATTGGGGGGAATTTATCAAAACTGGAGCAGACAGAATCTGGAGCATTTGCCCATGGCAACCAATAAGCATCTCTCTTCAGTTTGCTCAGGTAAGATTTGAAAAGGAGAATCTGATTGGTTGCAGTGCAGATCTGCTCCAGATTTTGTCTGCTCCAGTTTTGATAAATTCCCCCCATTGTATTTATTTATTTATTACAGATATTTATACAGCGCTGACAATTTACACAGAGCTTTACATAGTGCACATTCACATTAGTTCCTGCACTCAAGAAGCTTACATTCTAAGGTCCCTATCTCACATGCATACAGGGCCAATTTAGACAGGAGCCAATTAACCTTGGAGTCTTTGGAGTGTGGGAGGAAACCGGAGTACCCAGAGAAAGCCCATGCACACACAGGAACAACATGCAAACTCCTTGTATATGACATCAGGATGCCAAGGGACATATTATTACTGAAGTGGAGGAGGGGACAGGATTCAGGGACCAAAGTAGCAGCTAGTGGGATCCGCAGGTCAGGTGACTAACCTTTTTTTTTTTTTTTTAGCACCTAGACAAAAAATTAGCACTTAACCCTTGCAGGGACTAGTGGGGTAGCCCCACTGCAATGGTTAAAGACACTTTCTGCTTTAAGCTGTACCCAGAATAGTGAAGAGTTAGAACACCTGATTTTAATCTCTTTGTATCAAATGAAGAAAATCTTGAAAGTAAAAAACATTTAAGATTATTGCCTGGGTTTTATTTTTTTACTTCATTATACATTGATTGTAAATTGATAATATTTGATAAGGTACAGGTACTCCTAGAATGAGATCCTAATAGGCTGGACTTGATGGACTAATGTCTTTATTCAACCTCAAATACTATATAATTACTTAATAACTGATTATTTCTCAGTCATCATGGTCATCTTTATTCTCTAGCCAAATTTGTCGGTTCTGTTGTCTGATACAGATGTTTTCTTTCCTAGAATTCACAATGCCTTCTACCCAAGTCAGCCCCTGTTTACTTTAACATTACTACACGTAATGAGTGCGCCTCTTCATGGACTAGCAAACGCAATTGTCTTTGGATTAGACAAGGAAACTTGGAGTCAGCTGACAGTCGCATCCTTAAGAGTAAGTATTTCTTAGGTTTTAAATGTTCCCAAATATTCTGTTTGCCATGGTCATAATCACATTATTCAGTCAATTGCAATTTTGTTATGCAACCTTGATAACTGGTGAGTCTTTGTAAACAGTCATGGACATCTGCATCATGGAAGCAGAATAGGTGGTCAGTTCTCATAGCCAATTTTAACTTTATTCTGTTTTCATTCAAAGGTACTTAAATCTGATCTCCTTTACCTTCAAAAGCAATTGATTAAAGATAATAAACTAAGGCTTTCTACGTTTTTTTTCTCTCCCTGTTTTCCAGCAAATGACATCATTTTGATTTTTTTCATCATGGGCTGGCATCCTCCTTTCTGTTGTGGATGTCTGCGTAGCAATACTGTACTAGTTAAGGCCTTGTCTCTTTGCAGAGAGTTGCTTAGTCTTATGGTCTCCTCAAATAGAATGGTGGAAGAATAAGTAGCTGTCAGGCAGAAGGGTGGCAATGCTACTGATGCTCCAGGATGTTATCTGTCATGAAGGTTCGCATGACCATGCAATACATGACATGAACATACCAGGGCTCCATGTTGAATATAAATCAACTGAAATCTGTTTTTAAATTACTTTTAAGTTTGATGTCAATCCAGGATTCATGTGTTCATAGGTGAAAAATTTTGTTCTCGGTTATTGTAATAAGGGCACATCGGTGTTAGCCTTAAAACAACTCTTTCCTTTTCTAGGGTTTACAGAGACCACTGCCAGATATGAAATTTCTAGCTTATTACCAACTCACCAGTGCATAATAGGTGAGCAGACACTCACCTTTTGACAGTGGCATATCTACTAAAAAATGCACCTATGGTTCCCGCCCAGCTCCTGGCAACCAGCCTACCAGAGCAAAAAAAAGTGAGCTGTCCCCGTAAGTTAGTGAGTTTTCGCTGACCTATGGAGCAGTGCCTTCCCACTTCAAGTGGAGCCCAGGGCATATGAAGTGCCATGCCATAGATACGCCACTGCCTGTTGGGTGCCTCCATTCTTCCTCGTGCAGAGCAGTGAAACAAATCACAGCCAATTTGTCAGTACACCACACATGGCAAACATACTAATGACATTTCCGTGACATCCACAGGTCACTAATTTCATTAGCCCAGTAGGTGACCAGAAAGGAGGGGGTTTGCTTAGATATTAGCAATACTGTGCAGTCTTTTATGGGAAGCGTGAGGATACCGGTTTGCATACTTGAGAACTGGTCTAAAGGGAATCTGTTTAAATAGAACTAGTGGAGCTTGAGGTGCTGAGTGCTTGTCTGCCATGCTGATCCTTACTTTACTATTTGGTGAATCACTAGTTCAGAATAAAAATGGGCATATTAGGTGTACCAACACTTGATATGATTGTATTTGTCCAAGGTCACCAAGTAGTGAAACCAGAGTCAGGACAATGGCCCTGGAGTTGGGCTATCAGAAAATTAGATCAGATCTGCTTTTAATATGTGACTCTGTTATCTATGAATTGTTTTCTTATGAAATAGTCCTTGTGTCTGTAAAATGCAGGAACATTTTGGCCAGACAAGAAGCAGTAGTATGCTGGCTTTTATTTTTTTAACTATTCTAGGAAAGTGGGAAGTGGTGTCTGATTGACTGCAAAAGACAATACAGGCACTTTTTTTAAATGATCTGTACAAACATAAAACAAATCAAGGCACCTAGCTCGTTTAAGTAAGCTTTTACTGCAAAACAAAATCTTGTTTCATAATGCAGACAGTCAGGTAAGGTAATTAGACTAGTCCATAGCACCCAGCTCCTCCTCTATCAGAGAGTTCCCACCTTCAACATAAAATAATTGTATTTCGAAAACAGCCACAATTAAGTTTTTCTCACATTATCTGTAATGTATTAGTACAGTGTATTATGTAAGAGATACCTCTGGATTATAAGCTCAGGAAATAAAATAAAAATAAATTTGCTGCAACGCAAAAAAAAACCCAGACCCAGTTAGGTCATTGTTGGAGCACAATTTCATCATTTTAATTATTGTTTGTCTATTGGGGAGCTTTCCCTTCAATGTCCCAGAGACACAAAAAGAAAAGGGAGGACATTTCTACAAATTGAACAGTTGTCACCAGAACAGGTGTCTTCATTCAAATATATTCTCTTCAAGTTTTGGTGACAATTGTGAAATTCATATTCATATTCTAAGACAAATGAAGAGGGTGAATCTGCCTATTGGGGGAGGCAGCAACACAAATTCTACAGAGTTTCCAAACCTTCAAAATTATTTCTTCTATATTCCTAAAAAATCAAGCTAATTCAAATTTAAAAAAAAAAAATATTTCTCAATGGACTCACAAAGGGAACAAATTAATTAGGTAGATTGATCAAATTGTCCAATGGCAACTGTATAGTACTGGCAAAAACATAAGCATAAGCAACTTCCGTTAAAAGCATAAGCAACTTCCGTTAAAGCTATCTCCATAACCATTAACTTTATACTCTGTCTTCTGCAACATGGTCATCAATGGTGATGAAAAGCTGTCAACATCTTATGACCTTTCCACTTACACTTGTATCTCTCGGATGCTAAGTGGTTGAAACCAAGAGTTCCTCTGCCACTCTATGCAAAACTAAGAATTGTGGGTGGGGGTTAAGGAAACATGTTTTTCTTTATATTAATTAGTCTGGACCACTACATTATGTGTGCTATGCTGTATGGTACATACTCTAGACCAGGCCTTCTTAAACTTTCTCCACTCGTGACCCCTTTTTGGCTGAGGAAATGTTTAAGGGACCCCAAAGCCGGTCGGTGTCTTCCCCCCTCCCCTAGCGTAAGTCGGTGTCTCTCTCCTCTTATCCCCAACAGCACCAGGCAGTGTCTCTCTCCTCTTCTCTCCCTTCCCCAGCACCAGTCAGTCAGTGTCTCTTTCCCTCCTCCAACCATGCGCACACGTGCTCAGGAAGGTACCAAGTGCACAGGGGGGGCCGCGACCTTAAAAACTACACTACACTGCAAATTATACATTGAACTGAAATAAAACAATCTAGCTTGGAGCCCAGACCTATTCAGCCGCCTGGGCCCCTCACACAAGTACCAGCCGGCCCCCCTAATGGCGGTCCCGGCCGGGGACTCGGATCGCGACCCCCCTGTTCACTTGCGGGACCCCATATGGGGTCGCGACCCACACTTTAAGAAGCACTGCTCTAGACCACTGCAATCTATGTGTTATGCTTTGCATCATCTACACCACTGTACAATGTGTTTGGTCATTCATACCATTAAGAATTTCTCTACAACTGCACAATTTCATCCATTCATTGAATAGGCACACTTGCTAGTATTACAGTAAAGTCCACTTTGGTTTATATCTGGCCTCTTTTTCTATAAAGTACAGAAGACATAGGATACTATGCACAAGTTATACATATCGACTTCATTCAAAACCAGATTACCAATAGGGCTAAGTGCACCAATGGTACATCTGTGCGGTATTGCATTAATGTCTTTCCCCTCTAAACAGGGAAGTGCATAAACATTAGTACATAGCACAAATATCAATGAAAAATCCCAGTTATATAGAAAGGAAATTGAAAAAAAAAATCTAATGGAATTTTTTATTTCCTCAGTACACAGGAGTTTGCATTTTTTGTGGACATCTCTAATACCCTACCATGGGTTTTTATTTTATTTTAGTAAAAATGGTAGGCACACATCACATCAAAAACACATGTACGCAAACCCAAATAGTAACCTTTGTGAGTACGAAGTTAATACATTGAACTGGACAGAGTAAAGGACAGCATGAAAAAAAGAAATTCTAATGTATTTTAGCTAGAGTTTAGGCAACATACATAAACAACCTAGGGATTTGTACGTGAAATGTATCAATTACAAAAATTCATACAACTGCCTATATGATTTGTCTTTGGTTTCCATTTTCATTTTCAATTTAAAGCTGATTTCCAGGCACAACACAATTTAGTTATATATTTATTAAACATAATAAGTAGAAAAAGGGATGATTAGTAACCTATATCAATTAACCAATTTGGATCTGCTGCATAGGCATGTGCAGTAGTATAGTGAGAAGGGGAGAGAAGGGAAATGACTTCATCAGTCTGCTGCTGTCTGCTCTTAATGCACATGAACTTTAATGGCATCCCAGTCTTAGTCCGTAGGGTTGAATATTTAGTTGGCCCACTCTTTGCTGCTATAATAGCTTCAACTCTTCTGGGAAGGCGTCTACATGGTATCAAACCCAGACACGTCCATCGGATTGCCAGACAGAGAAGTGTGATTCGTCACTCCAGAGAACACGTCTCCACTTTTCTAGAGTCTAGTGGCAACGTGCTTTACACCACTGCATCCGACGCTTTGCATTATGCAAATGCCCCATTATTGTTACCCTTCGATTCAACCAGTCACGACATATAGTTATATAGGGATACTTTTGTAATTAAAGCAGTAGCATGGATCTTGTGGTGCCTGCTGTAGGCATGAGTTTTACTTGAACCTAAAACAAGCCTGCAGATTAGGGGCTGATCAGTGTACTTGTTGCAGCAGAATTGATTTACTAAAGGAAAATTGGACGTTCGCTTTTTAAGGAAATTTCCCCTTAGCTTAGTGAATGAGGTGAACCTCTGCTGACTCCCACATCATCCAATCATGTGCAAGCAAAAATCCTGTTTTTTTATTTTCCTTTTAATGATTGGGTATTCTTTGCAAAGTGCATTTTCATCACATTTACTAAGCTAAGCAAAAATTCCCTTGCAAAGTGAACTGCCTATTTGCCTTTAGTAAATCAACCCCAGTGACACAGTATTGAAGGGTTAGAATGACAACTAGCATTTTCCAATGAACTCAGCCGCAATGTTTCTTTCATGACAGGTTCACTTTAAGGCAGTTTAGAAAGTGAAAGTTTACGCCTGATTGGTCTCTGTGAGCAATAGCCCTATATTTCTGTCATACCAGTTTTATTTTTTATTGATCAACTGTGCTCACTTTATCTCCCGGTACAGGCAGGTTAAATT